TTTTGTTTCTTGTGACATGCAAAATTCTGCGCACAGACTAGAATGATTTATTTACATAACTCCCATACCTATAGAAACTTCCCTCAGCTCCCCAGACCTCTTCCATCAGTTTACCTTATTGTTACTCAATTGAAGGACTGAGAAAAGTCCAAAACACAGCCAGACTTCCAGACTGTAAAATCATGTACCTTCTGAAAGAGCAAGAAGCTGCAGGTATGTGGTTCCTCCTGGATTTTCATAGACTGTTCACCTGCCATTAGCTGAGCACGAGGACTTGAGTATCAGTGGCATATGGTACCTCACCTGTTTCCAGAACTTAGAATTGGATGACTGTGGGTGCACAGTGTGTTGCTCTTTCCATTTGACTGTACCTTGCTGCTTAATAATAAACCTAAGAGACTCCTGAAGCTTCTCGTAAGTCCCAATTGTCTCCATTTCCAGCAGGATCACCTTTGTATCGTTTAGAATGAGGGCATTGTATAAAGCAATGTGTTGATCATAAGCATGTTCTTTACAATTAATCAGCTGCCGTGTTAGAAGGATGATCAGTCGTCTGCTCTTCTGTATACTCTTCTCAATTGCACTGGCTGTATCTAGCAATGTACAAGAAAAAGATGAAACTCTGAAATTTCTTTTGCAAACTCTTTTCTGTTTAGGTGCTTCATTTTTGTTACTTTTTAATGAGAACTTCAGTCTCACTTCAGTCTAGTACAGGTTATTCATTAGAAAAACAGTTCGAAAAACAAAAATACAAAAAAAATCAACAACAGAAAGTAGGTCATGTCACTGAACAGAAGCTGAACTTCCTGTTACTCTAACACCCTTGTACAAGTTGAAAAACCCTGAGCGATAACAGCAAGGTTAATTCCTCAACTTAGTTTGTGGTTTTCTCCTCTTCCATGTCTTGTAGACCTACTCACTAACAGTTTATCTATCTGTGGCTTTGCCCAGATAATGGCTGTGCCATTACACTACCTGATGAGAAAGTGTGTGTTTAAAAGAGTCACACTTGGGGTCACATTTCCTGTGTGACCCGAGAAGATGATAAACAATCTGTGCCCCTGCCGTGTAGCTTGCTTTTCTTAAAAGACGGGCAAGCACAGAGTGCCACCGTGTCACCCTGCCTGAAAGAGCAGGCAGACACTCAGCTGCTGAGGAGATGAGCAGCAAGCTCAGGAGCATAAAGAGACCTCCTATACCCCTAAAAGGGACTAGAACCACAATCTACTCAAGCTTGACAAGTCATTCATTCAGCATGTTATCTGATCTGAAACATACCTTCTCCGGGATGTATGTCTCTCCCATAAATACACAGTTTATATCCATATTTATTTTCTAGAATATCAGGCATTATTTGGTAAACAAAATATTCCACAAAATTAGCTTCATTGGTGTGGTTTTTGGGGTAGATAACGTATGCATCATATATCTTCCCATCTGTAAGTCAAAACAAGAGAAAAGTCTATTGTGTTAACATGAACTAGAGCTGTCTATTGCAAAAACTAGAAGAAAAATAAAAATCTCAATATTCAAAATAGATCTAGGTAGAAGTTCCTGTTAACCTGAACAACGTATATCATCAGGTGCATTTTTGGAAATTAGAGACAGTGCACATTTGGGGTTTTCCATGATCAGTTGTTATGTCCTGTGTGTTTTAACTTTGGAGAACCTGACCTCTGTACTAAGGCTGTATCCCAGAGTATACAGAGTAAAAATTTGTTTGAATGATGCAAATTAGCATGAAATAGAGATGAAACTCAGCATGTGTTATTTCCTAGATACAATAGGCAGTTGACAGCCTTTGTCTTTCAGGACAAGACACTCCATTTAAATTCTTCCTCCTGGAAATTATTCTTCATTCCCATGACATATCACACTTCTGAGTGAAAAGCTCTGTTACTCAGGAAGTAGTCTTACAGTGAGAACCAAGTACAAAGTCAAATATTTCTTTCACTCTTTTCTTGATTTTTCTCAAATATGTGTTTTCCATTACAGCATTTTTATTTCTAATCCCAAATGTTCCATTTCTTTCTTTCCAGTGGAGATGATCATGTCCCTTCTTTTGTTGCTATCTGAAGTTCTTGTCCAGACCATCCTTACAATAAAAAAGAAACAGCCATTTCCATTCTATCATAAAATAGATTTAAAAGGCAACTGCCCTAAAAACCGTATGTGTTTCCTCTTTAAAGAAATCAGCTGTGGATATCTACCATACAAACATCTATGGTAGGAGTCAGCTTCAGATTTAAAAAATGTAAATTTAGGTGTTTACATGAAAGCTAGGTGTCTAAATTCCTACTACAATGAGTGGAGAGTCCATTATAGTCACTGAATTCTAGATCAGTTCAGATTACTCTCATGTAAATGTCAGGGGCCCACCTGAGGTGCTTAAACATAGGTATCTAGTGCCATTTGAGACTTCCTGTGGTACCCTGCCTGATCTCCAGACCCTGCTCTAGAAGTCCACAACATCTGGCGTATCTGAGTTATGTGTCCAGTTTTCGGCCAGCCTAAATGACTTTAGATGCCCATGTTTAGACCACTGACACATGGTCCCAGTGCTTGGTTAACTCTGCTAAAATTTTGATGAGGAGCTGGATTTGGTCACCTAAAAACTTTACCATATAGTGTTATTAGGCACTGCCTGCCCTTCAACTGCCATTGCAAATGGATTTGAGTCTCTCTTAAGTCCTAAGGAAGCTCCAACAGCACTAGCTGCTTACGCTTAGACAGCAGAACCCAGCCCCAGGTTCCTGGGTTTCACGTCTATGATGGGAACTTCCATGTGTGCACCTTCATTGCATGCACCTGAATTTAGTTGTCTTAATCTTGAGGTCCACGCCTGAAGTTGGATGGGATGTATTCCCCCCAGAAGTGTCTTCCACAATATTGGATCTTTCACTTTGGTTTATCAAAGCTGTATTGCACTAACACATGCCAGTCTGGTTCCTTTGCTTTAGAGAGCATGTAACAAGTTAACAGCACTGTAAATGGGATTTTCACTGCCATTCAATGTTTCATGGCATGTTTTGTGTTTGTTCAAAAAATATAAAACCAGGACTGTATTTCTCTTTTATGTACATCACTACTGAACCCAGGAAACAAGGGAATGTAAAGCACTACCAGAATTAGATATGTCCTCTCTCACTTAAATGATTTCAAAAGGCATGAGGAAGTAAAGAATCAGGCTCAGGTGTCATACGAGTTAGTAAGCAACTATCAAATCCATTTCCACATGATTTGCCTTTTTCCTCTTTTTAAACTTTCTTGCTCTATTCTTACTTACCATCCTTGATTGAGTAGGGCTGAAATATTTCCCGATACAGCAGGACGATATCAACTCGGAAGGACTGATAAAGTATAATGGAGACTGCTATTGCAACCAGCAGAACTAGAGATCCTATGATCAAGAGGACATTAGGAAGACCCACTGCAAAGAAGAGGAGACTCATTAGCCATAGAGAACTTAACCCATGGGCTGAAGCCTCAGCCTCTCGTATCCTTACTTCTATTGCAGCTTTAAGGAGCTTACAACAGAGACAACGTAGCTTTTTCCTTCCCTAGCTGGTGTAGCCAACACAAAGTCACCTAAATTAGAAGCATATTAAGCAGTATATAATCCTTTCTTGTGGTGAATGGAGACCTACCTATGTTAAATATCACAGCTGACAATGGTGTTAAATATTTTGTAACACTGTAAAACTTAATAACACAATCAGCAACAATGTACAAGCATTTTATAAGGCACCTAAGCCTACACATGACAATTTTAAGTGTCCACAAAAGGACAAGCGGAGTCTTCTGACACAGTTGTACAAACAGGGTAAAGAGAAACTTGTGCAAATAATGAAATCTGCAAGATAAGAACAAAGTACACAAAACAAGCAGGAAAACAGAACATATCCTGGTCACAAAAATAAAATAAACTATGTTGGAGGCAGATGATGTTCTCCCCTGCTTTTTCCTTTGAAGAGGGTCAAGGAGAATAAAACAGCAATGACGAGTAAGAAAAATTGGCAAAGAAAGAAGCCACCCACTTTAGTTCCAACTTCCTTCATGGAAGAGGTCTTGAATTAGACCACTTCTACCTTAGAGGTGAACACATATCAAGGATAGATTCAGACTAGGTATAAGGAAGAAATTTGAGGTGGTAGATGAGCCATCCCAGGAAACATTTAAGATCAGGTTGGAAGGGGCTTTGAATAACCTGGTATAGTTGGATGATGTCCTTGCTCATTGCAGGGGGCCTTGGACTAGATGACCTTTAAAAGTCCCTTCCAACCCAAACCCTTCTGTGATTCTATGATTCTGTAAAGATGGCAGTCGTCAGATCTGTGCTATCGTATGCACACAGATAGTCTAGGACAAGACTGTGATTATTATTCTTCAGGGACAGCTATGTTTCTATCACAACCCAGATAGCTGCATCTCTGACAGCCCATTTTTCCCCTTGTTCTGTGATTCAGAGAGTCAAAGTCAATCTAGATGTGTGCATCATCCAGATGGTATCTAGTTCTGCTGTAGTAAGAGACAATGGGAGGTAGAAGCAAAGTCCATTTGTACTCCCTCCAAACTAGAAAGACAGAAGCTTGATGAGCAGGCTGTTACAGCCAAAAAAACCTGAAGAAGATACTTCTGGTCTATGTCCTGGATGTATTGAATCCACCCAAGATTCAGTATTGAAAACTATGAATTGTAGATAGCCAAGTTTGAAATTAAAATATCAAACGTTTTATATAGCAATTACACAAAGAGGATTTATTACCCCCTTGGAGGGAAGATTAATGGCACTTGTCTCATATCAGAAATCTGCTCCTAAGCAAATGAAAGATAAATAGATCTACTCCACTTGGTATAATGTGTAGACTCAGAGCAGTTCCATGTACATTTTTTTCTCTGACAACTAAATCCATTAAAAGCTTTCCATTTGCAGTCAGCCTTCTCTGCCTAATTATTCCTGCCCAGCATGACAACTCCTCATCCTATAGTTGCAATAATATTGCTGCTTTGGAGACTTTTCTGTGATTCAGATGACTGAAATTATGTGAATTAAAAATATAGCCCCAGAACACTGGACTGTGTGATTAACTTTTACCACCAAAGAAACGCACATGAAAACACCCAGATTGTGCATCACAACTGCATAAAGGGCCCACCTGTCTTTTTATTTTACTGTGGTATAGCAAGCATAATAATTGTTATATGCCCTGGCTTAGGATATCACTAGAAGCATGTAGCCCTTCAGTGTTACAATGGCATTTGAGGTATGCTACAATTTCAGAATTAGCTGAGGAAAGAAATATTCCTTTGAATGCTGACCACATATAAATTCAAACACAATCATTTTGGCAATACAAACATGGAGGTCAGCTCTGGCATCCTCACTGTAAAGACTCTTCAACCCATGAAGGGTGATTATACGTGCTAGTAGCAACTCCACCAAGCCTTATCCGTTCAGAGTATGGATCAGTCGTTCAGGGCTTTACCTCCCTCTGCCTGCAAAACGCACACAAAACAGGTGGCTGCAGCAGCAGGCCATTTACCAGCACTTGAGGAGGTGCATCTTACAGCAGGCTGAAGAGCCACTCTCAATTTCCTCCACAGAAGCAGTAATGAGATGTTGCTTTGTGCCACCAGAAAGGAGCAATTTCAGAGCTTTCACTTGGACTTGGCACTAAGTAAATGAAATAAGATAAAATATTTAGCAGTGAAGAGTCTCTTATATTGACATTTACTAGTCCCCTGGCTTCTCCAGGTGTTGAATAAGGCAGTGTATTGAGTAGTACTTATGGAAACAACCTAAAAATACTAGTGCCTGAGAAATCCCACTGAAAAGGTATATAAACAAAGAGTTTACAAGTACATTTTCCCTTCCCTTTGGTAGGATGCAAGATAAATTTGACATGATTTTCACAGCCTTCTTGTTTCTTTCTTTTCCATTTAAAGGGAAAAAAGAAACATCAGGCATGTGATGAAGCATACTTCACCAGAACTAGGAGATCTGGGGAAACCCCCTTCCAATAAGATTGAAGTGGGCAAGAAATCAGCCAGTTTCTTCTATAGTGAAGCTAGGCCATTCTGTAGTTTTAACAGTGTCACATGACGCCCATGAAGGAATTTTGTCCTTGTGGACCCCCTCAAATCTTATTATTTGATCCATTTTCCTGGCCAATACACACACACACGCAAACAGACAAAATCAGGAAACCCCTTCCACTATCTCATGAGGACGACCAAAGCATCAGAGATTGACCCTATTTCTTATTGCTTCATTTGTTGACAATGTGCTTGCATAACATTACAGATACTGTTGAGTATTTGTATTGAGTAAGTATCTATGAAAAGCTTGAGAAGAAACAGGTTCCAATAACAACTTCTGCAATTATGAACCTAAAACAGCTTACATCTGGTTTTGCAATGATTACACAAAGACTGGAAAAGAAGTCATAAATTTCCTGTGCTTATGCAGCTTGTAAAGCATCAGACAAGAACCCCACAGGGGTCTTCCTGGAAGAGAATTAAGGCTGACTCAACCTCTCATTTCTCTGGAATAAATCAGCTATCTTCAGTACAATGGGGGCAAGGGTCAGAAGGCACTTTTGGAGGCCCTGAACAAGGTTGAACAGATCTTCTTGTTCCGTTTGACTTGGCTGCATTGTTTAGTGGAAGACAGTTCATGAGCAAACTGTCTTCTAATCCTATTTATTTCTATTCAAGAGCAATGTGAATACAGAACTATCAGCTCACAAGAAACAATATTGGACAGACCAGAGAATACAGGTCAGAAAGTGGCATTTGCAGGATTTCCTGAAAAATTTCGGAAGAACGGCAGTTTTTCATAACGCCTCTGCCTTCTAAGGTGGAAGCACTACCAAATAGTAAAGGCAGAGATCTGAGTCTGAATTGCTGTCCACATCCATCTGCCAAGGGTGAGCCAAAAGGTTAGGTTTGGCATTAAATGTCTCTTAGGAAGAACAGAGATGATGTTCTGGGTTGAATTTTATCTCTGCTCTGAATGACTGGAATTTCTGGCATTCTCCAGAGAACAATGTTCACGGCAGAAAGACTTGTGGTCCTCTGAGCATCTTATGCTTCCTTATAAGTGAGAACTGAGGAATGTTCAGAGAGAAATAACATGAGGCTTGTGGGTCAGACACATAAAAAGCTATCTCCAGTTATTTAACCAGCCTTGAATCGAGATGAAGAACTAAAAGCCAGTGCTGGTTTACATATTGATAAAAAAGGAAGGACTTGGAAGGTATTCAGGCAGCCCATGTATTCCTCAGACTGCTTAAAGGGAATGCTGAAGGGATGTTCCTGTCCTGACCCAGCTCTGCTGGAAGAAGGAGTTAACACTTCCAGTGATTCCCCAATAACTTGTCATTGCCTCTATCTCAAGAGCTAACAGCTTCCCTCCCTCTGCCAGTAAATCTACTTCTTTAAGCATTGATGCCTCATGGTTATCAATGAGCTGAACTGGCATCAACAGTGTGGCCAATTAGTTTTCTTGTCCTTGAGAGGTGGCATCTTCCAGCATGAGAGATACCAAGCAGCTGTGGAGGACAACTGGGAGCAGTCTGTCAGGCAGAGTCGCTGTCTCTTGCCAGGTGTCCAAGCAAGACTGCCTACGTCTTTGTCATGAAAGGTGGAAGAAAAGGGAATTAAAAGTTGTCTCAAATTCCTTAGCCTTACAGTGACCAGAAGCACACCACACAATGTGCAGATGATCTCAGAGCACAGAAGAGTGCATATCTTGTGGCACTGAGGGAATGTAAAATCTGGGATGACCGCTATCCCTGGAAAGAAAAAGAGAGATATAGGACTGAAAGATCTGGAGGAAATGAAACAGCCTGTATTTTCTGTAAAGAGGTATTATGAGATATGAAGGCGTTTATAAACAAGCGTTGGTGAAGGTGTCAGAAGATACCAAAGAGCTTTAGGCAGAAGGGTAGAAGGGATGAGAAATAACATGGAAGGATGGGTTCTGTATTGGCTGGGGGTGATCAAAGTCTAGGCAGGGGGTGGATGAATTACGAAAAAAAAAATGAAGAAATCTTTCTCAAAATCTTTCTCGACAGGAGGAGAAGCAACCTCTGAATGTAGCAGCAGCAGCAGCTGAAAGGCACACGGACATTAGGACATTAGCACCTCCTAATGGAGACAAAAGCATAGCTGCAGAGACCATCAAAATTCATAGCCGAATCCTCATTAAATTCTTCTCTTAAAACAAAGAAAGAATTTGTCTGATTTCTCTGTGTCTAAAAGACATAGTGTGCATAACCTGGATACCACCAAATCACACCAAATGGAGCTGGCTGCATTGCACTATGCCTAGTAACTGAGGTACTTACGTCATGTAGCTCATTTCTAAAGAGCTGATCACCTTCTCTTAAGAGAATTTTTTTTTCCTATAGTAAGATAAGTAAAAAGATATACGGGGTAGACATTTTTTTTCACAATACAGTACTTTTCTTCACACACGTATGTGAATACAGACATTTGTGCACAGCACAACTAGCAAATCCACTGGTTTTCCCTGTGAAATGCCAAGCAGCTTTGCCAATAACATTATTGGAAGTATTAATGGAGTATTTTTGTTTTCCATGGAGACAAACACAAACAGCTTTCACCACTCGTGACTGCAAAAGAAAATCCTCCTTTTCTCATCGCTTCTCTCTGGCACTTTTTTATTTGTAACTGGATTACAATTGTTATCAAAATGAATTGTTAGAGTTAATTATAATTATATTGTTAACAGTGAACTAGGACTTAAAGTATTTGATTGTGACTCAGAAAAAATAGATTTAATTCATGATTCCCACAGAAAATTTCCATGTGGTGAGCCAAATAATTCATCAGTTTTTTGGCTTTTGAAGACAGAGACTATTGCTGTAACACTGAACAGGTACTAACGCAAAGGAGCACTAATGCAATTAATTACAGTATCTTTACTTCCTGTCTTAATCTGTCGCCTTTGCTGCTAAGCACTGTTTATCTAGTTAATTAAATGCCCAATGCTCCCAAAACTGACTAATTCGAGTAGTAAGTTTCACAACACCTATTAAATCTCTTATTTCCTACCACAGCTCTGTGCTAGGAATATACAAATAATGACAATGTAACCCATACTGAATGCCTGAAAATAAAATCAGAATACAGAGCAGGAACTTGTGTAAAAAGAACATTAACAGGTTAGTAGCTAGCAGACGTAGTTTGTGCTGTGGGAAACCCTAAGGAACAATCACATATTTTTAAAAAAATAAAAAAAAAAAACCCCACAACCTTTTTTTCTTATTAAAAACAAACAAACAAAACACAAAAAAGACAAAGAGTACACGTTTTTATTACACATTTATAAGATGAGAGGCACAAGCAAACCCTACAGCATTTTCATTATAATCAGAGGCAAGCTGTCATTGTTTCAGCATAAATGCTGCTTAGCTGTGCAAGGACTGAGTGAAGAAAACTAAAGCAGAGCACAACCATTTCTGGATGCAGCATTGCTTACTCCAACAGTGCTGAGGAGCAGAAGCAGGCATCTTGACAACAGCAGCAAGGAGAAGGAGACAGATATCCACACAAAACAGGCAGCAGTGAAGGAGAGGTCACAGCCAAGAGCTTTCATGAACATTTACTGAAGACCTAAGGATAAAAAACAAAATAAGATTTGTCTATGACAGAAAACAGATTCAATGAATCACTTGATGAATACAGAAAATAAAATATACTCATTTCTTCACCTAGTTTAGTAATATGGGGCCAATAAGGGGCTTGTATTGCCTGAATTGGAGTGAACAGGAACTGTTACTCAGTTTCCTTCCCTATCATTGCAAGTATGCTCCCACACTCAGATACCTCAGTGCAGAGCTGTTGTGCTTCCAGCTTCCGGAGTGATGCTGCACTTGCACTGAGTAATATCCAACCAAAACATTTCCTGACATATTCCCCTGGCGGGGGGAATCGGTGCTATGCTGCTGGATGATACACTCACATCCCTTCTGATCTAGGCAAGGAAATACGTCTATGCTTTGAAGCCATGATTCTTTAGGAAGTTATGAACAGTCAAAAATACTGCACAACATGAAGCTGCGTACACACTGTGATCACAATACACTTGGCTTTATTCTTCCCAGCATTCTTTTATAGAAATCTAATAGCTGTTAAAGGCCTTGGGGTTTCTTCTCAAGATCCTTGGTGGTTCAGTATATCCAAAGGGATAAGTAAGAAAACCACTGAGTGCAGTTTCTTGTGCCTTCACACACACAATAGCCTTTTCAGTGTTGCTGTCAACAGTACTTAGGGATTTGGCTATCCCTAGTGAAAAAAACAACAAACAAAATCAACAAAATCCCATAGGAACTAAAGACCATCCCAGTACACACCATTTAATGCCCTGGATTGTCCTTCTCTGGCAGGAATTACTAGAACCATGAATTTAGAAACAAAACCAAGGGAAAGCCTTTGAAGTTACTTACATGTCTGTAAGGCATACAATGAACAGTAATGCTCAGAGGACCAGAGGATAAAGCCAGACCTTGCAGAAGTTAGGCACACCACTCACTATTCAATCAAGAAACAAGGCACCACAGTGGACGTGGCATGGGAGGGAAGGCAAGCAAACTGGCAAACTGACAGCTGGGACTCTTTTTTTTAGTATTTGTCTGTTTTCTGCTATGGTTCCACACTAGAAACAACAGTTTGATTCTCAAATGGCAAATCTCTGCTCCTCGCAATGCATCATAACACTGATGACCGAAGGACATGTAAGTTCTTTGTCCAGCTGTCATCTGCAGGAGCTCCTCCAGAGCCCAAATATTTTGTAGACCAGACTCCACTATACAAGTGTGCTTGACACCTGAGTGCACTTGCCTGCCTTCAAGGCAAGGGAAATCTGTCACTGAGCAGAAATATACTAAACCCGGGAAATTCTTCTTACAGGGCTGATACAGTCACGCTCTGCATATTTAATGTCTTGCTGATATCACTTGAGTAATGGCCCTGACCCCCCAACTCCCACCACCAGCAGAATTTACTCCAAGGACTTTCACGACCTAATGAAGCAATGAAAATTTTGCCACTGTCTTGAGTGTGTAGGGAGGAAGCAGTCTGGGGTTTCTTCCTATTAACAGAAACTTTCTTACTAACTGAAACAAATAATAAAATAAATTCACTAACATATTTCAGAGTGCAAAGTGTAAGAAAACAAAACAAAAGAATTCCTACCTTCACATTGTGCTTTGAGTTGCAACGTCACTGTGGCTCTTGTGTTGTGCATTTCATTCACTGCTACACACGTGAAATTTGCCTGCAGATCCTCCTTTTTTATTTCAGTAATATGCAAAGCAGTCTCTTTGTAATAATCTTGCTCACGTCCTTCAAAACTAAGAGAGAAAAAGAGCTGGTACTGTTGGCTTTAATGGTTAGGCACAGTTGCCATAGAAGAAAGAATATTCTGTTCATGTACTTACGAATGAGTTTTTTCGTGGAATCTTGAAACACGTAAGTATTTCACTGGGATGTTATCCACATCCCATGTGACAACAGCCATTGGCTGTTTCTTAATTCCCAAGCGGGCCTGACATTTCAGAGACAAAGGAGCACCTGATCAAGACACAAATAGATGTATAAATTCCCTGATGAAAAGCAGGTGTAATTTTATCTTCCTCATAACATCTTTTTCTACAAATCTTCACATCACCTGTGAGTTTTGCCTTAACAATTTTGACTATTTTTTTGAATGACTGCTGAAAAAATAATGCATAAAAGAGACTCAAAAAGAAATGGTGAAATGAGATTTTTAACAAATTACCTAAGACAACACCAGGGATTACAAAAGGAATTATTATATTTGTTAAGATTAACACAATTTAGACTTTACTTGTGTTGCTTAACCCATATAGTCAACTATTGAAGAACATGGAAAGTAAATGCTGGTTTTCACACAAATGTACATGGAAATAACATAATTAAATTTCAGTATATATTACATTGCATAAATCTTGTGTGCAGATTCTTATCTTGGATTTAAGTCAAGCCGGATGAAAGTAAAGTAAACCAGTTCAAGCAAAACTAAACCAGGAAATTACTTACCAAGTATTTGTCATTAGGAAATATTTATTCCGAAGTAAGAGTCACCTTTACACTGGAAGAAGGTATAACTAAAACAATTATTTCCATGTAAATCTGCATCTAAACAGGGCTTAGATATGATTAAAAATCTTATGACTTACATCCTGAATTGGGATTAGGTAACATGTAGAAACCCCTTCATTTTCTGGAATTAGGAGGCCATAGAATCGGTACAGCAAATGGCTTTTAAATGTAAAGTGAATTTGCTCCATGCAAGCAGAGCCAGATTAGTTATTGCCCCAGAGGGATAGGCAAAGCCCGTACAGGACTAGAGACTGAGCATTGTGTTAGAGAAAGCTGGTCCTAGAGCACGGATCATCAAATTCTGAGTGACAAGCAACTGGGGGAACGAGTTAACAATAAC